CAGTGGGGAGCTCTCCCAGTCACGTCCACGTTGCCTGACCCCCGAGAGCAGGGGGGCGGTCGAGCGCGTGTCCACCCTCCCGGTCTGAAACCTGACGAGGGACAAATGTAAGGGGCCCTTCTGGGAGCAAGATGAATGAATGAATGAGTGAACGATAAAGCTGGGAGGGCTTTCAGCTTCTGGGCACCTTCAGGATGGGCGCGTGGCTCCGTGTGTCAGTCCCGGCGTGCCGCAGCTGACCAGAGGGGTCACGGGGGCTCTGGGGCCCGTCCCTCCGGACACGGACGGATGTGAGGGAGCTGCGTGGACCAGTGCGTCCCACGGCTCGGCTGTGGTCCGGGAGCCCCCTCCTGCTCTCTGCAGCCGAGGAGCCTGCAGAGGCAATTCTGGGCGCAGGTCCACAGTGCCCTGTCCTCTCACTGGGGGGCTCAGCGCGGGGCCGCGTGGGTTCCGCTGTGGGTCCTCATGTCTCTGCCTCTCAGGGAGGCACAAGGCCTTAGCCAGGTGAGATCCCTGGGACACCTGCTTGCAGGGGCTCTCAGCACAGCCCTTAAGTTTCCCCAGGTACAATCCACGACCTGGGGAGACCAGCGTGCACCTCTGCCCAGGCTTGCGGCTGTGCCCACCTTTGCTTTCTGTCCAGCATTAACTCTGGACTTGGACGTGTGCTCTTCCTGCACAAATCTCCCCACACTTCGTAACGTCACTTCTCAGCCTGCTCGGTGCCTCTGATCTCAAAAGCAGAAAAATACCTGTGCAATTTTCCCCGCAGGGTGTGGGGGCCGGGTGATTAGTTTACAGAGAAACAGCAGAATAACAGGACAGGTCATTAACAGTGTTGCGTGACGATCAGGGTGGAGGCATGAAGTGGAAGGCCCTCCGGACTGAGGGCTTGCACCCCGAGCCGTCCACTCTGAGCGTGGGCTCTTGGAGGTGAAGTGGCCTCTCACCCCAGAACTGGAGCCTGTGGGAAGACAGGTCACTCTCAGTACCTGCTGGCCCCTCGGTACTCTCAGGAGAGCAGCCCCCGTGTGTGCAGGGCTTCAGATGGGTGTAGACGGGCTGCGTGATTCGGGCGGCTGGGCGACGCCTCGTCAGGGGTGTGGAAGGAGGAGGCATGGGAACAGTGGAAGCTTTTAGGCCCTGGTGTCTGTCTCTCCCTCGTGATTACAGAACAGCCTGGTCTGCAGAGCATCTGCTGGAAGACATGTGAGTGCAGGCTGGCAGATGAAGGACAGGGACATTATTTACCTTTTGCACTGCTCTTTGCCAGCTGCTCTCTCTACACACTCACACACACACATATATGTACATATGAACACACATGAATACACACACATATACACACACACCTCCTCAAACCATTTAAGTTGAAATCAAGTCAAGTCCCTCCACTCCAGTGTATTTACTAAAAACAAGACATTCTTTCACAACCAAATGGTTTAATAATCAACACTGGGAAATTTAACCTTGACCCCTGAAAAGTCATTAATCCGATGGTTGGTTCTCCGAGTGGGGTCCCTGCGCCAGCTGTAGCCGCAGCGTCTCCTGGGAACATGTTGGAAATGCAGATTCCCAGCACCGCCCCGCCCAGACTCTGAGTCAGGAATCCAGGCGATGGGCAGGAAGCTTCCGCAAGCCCTCAGGGGGTGTGGGGTATTCCGGCCACACGGGGAGGCCCTGGAGCCGCTGTCTCGTTCCCAGACTGTCACACGCTCCCAACTGACTCAGGAGCGTCCTTTTGGGGTGTTTGTTTCCCATCAGAGGCTGATCCTGATCGGGGATGACACTGAGGGTCACGTCTCTAGGGTGTCCTTTCGTCTGGAACAGCTCCTCAGCGCTTCTGGTCTGTCCTGACCCTGATGTCTTTGAAGAGGCTGGGCAGTTGCTTGGCTTGATCGATGGTGGCTCAGTGGTAAAGAGTCCACCTGCCAGTACAGGAGACGGGGGTTCGATCCCTGGGTGGGGAAGACCCCCTGGAGAAGGGAATGGCAACCCACTCCAGTATTCTTGTCTGGAGAATCCCATGGACAGAGGCGCCTGGCAAACTACAGTCCATGGGGTCTCAGAGTCGGACATGACTGAGCGAGTAACACTTTTACTTTCTTTAATCTTATGGAGGAAGCCATACTAGTGCAGGAGAGGTTGTTCTGTGATTGACTTGCTTTCATGACTTGGCCAGCTTTATATATTTAAATAGTTTAGAACCTCCGCCGTTAATTCTGAACACACACTGCTTTGCTTGTTTGCCACACACAGCACGTGGGTCCCTCCTGAGGCTGCGGCAGAGACTCTGTCCCGGCCCCCCAGCTTCTGGTGTGACTGATAACCTTCGGTTTGTAAGAACATCTCCCCATCTCTGTCGCTGTCTTCACACTGACGCTGTCCTCTCTGTGTGAATCGCGGTCACACCCCTCATGGTTTCCGTGCGATCATCAAAATCAATGCATTAAACTTTGACCAACAATAATGCCATCGATAGCACACGTTCAGATCCTGCCCTTTGTCTCAATCGTGTCCTCCGCCGATATACTTTTCTTCGTCCACAGTCACCTCTGCGGATCTGTAACTGGGCTTCACACTCTTTGTCTTTCTCGATGCTTCTGAAGAGGACAGGCCGGTCACTTGGTAGAGTGTGTCTGAGTCTGGGTTTGTCCGGTATCTCCCCCTCATCAGATTCCGGGCCCACGCTCTGGGGAGGAAACCGTGAAGTGTCGCTCTGCCTTACCAGGACGTCCGTCGGGGAAGCCGGAGGGAGAGAGGAGGCAGGGGGCGGCCTCCGCTTGGCCCAGGTGCGGTCGGGAAGGCAGGCCCTGGCCTCCGGCCTGCTCCGCGCCACAGCCCTTCTCGTCATTAAGTTTAGAACTGAAGGTCTGCTCCCCGCCCCCAGCCGTCCCCCTGCGCCCCTGAAGACGCTCAGAGGACGCTGGCATCGCCGGTACCGAAGGCCGGTACTGAACCGGCCCCAGCGAGGGCGGGCAGGGAGCGCTTCCAGACGGACCGGGGGGCGGGGCGCCCCCTGCCGGCTAACGCGGAGAACGGTGAGAGAAACACCAGATGACAAGCGTCAGAAATAGAGCGTCAGCTGCCTGAGGACAAAAATACGCGCGGAGAGAGACGTTCTGAGTAAACGCTGCGCTGCGAAACAGCGTCGGAAAGACGCTGAGCTAGAGGTCCCCGAGGCGGCGGCGGGGAAGGTGCTGCTGCTGATGACCCCGAGAGGGAGACCACAGCCCTGCTGGACCGCGACCGCGGTGCCCGTGCGCTGGGATTCACAGGCCGGGGGAGGCCCAGCGCTTCGTCCTCCTGTGGAGATGCAGCGTTTTCATAAGTGCCCCTTCCCATAAGCACACTTCCTGCCATAGTTACTGACGAGCCTGAGAAGGCTGGGCTGAAGGCCCAGGTCACCACCGAGGAAGACGTCTACCTGTACACACGCCTCGGAGAGGGACACGCCTGGGAGAGGGAGACACCTGAGAGAGGGAACCTGGGAGACGGACACGCCTGGGGGAGGGGACACGCCTCAGGGAGGGACACGCCTGGAGGAGGGAACCTGGGAGACGGACACGCCTGGGGGAGGGACACGCCTGGGGGAGCGGACACGCCTGGGGGAGGGGAGACGCCTGGGAGAGGGACACGCCTGGGGGAGGGACACGCCTGGGGGAGGGGACACGCCTGGGGGAGGGAGACACCTGAGAGCGGGAACCTGGGAGACGGACACGCCTGGGGGAGGGTACTCGCCTGGGAGAGGGACACGCCTGGGAGAGGGGACACGCCTGGGGGAGGGAGACACCTGAGAGCGGGAACCTGGGAGACGGACACGCCTGGGGGAGGGTACTCGCCTGGGAGAGGGACACGCCTGGGAGAGGGGACACGCCTGGGGGAGGGAGACACCTGAGAGCGGGAACCTGGGAGACGGACACGCCTGGGGGAGGGTACTCGCCTGGGAGAGGGACACGCCTGGGAGAGGGGACACGCCTGGGGGAGGGAGACACCTGAGAGCGGGAACCTGGGAGACGGACACGCCTGGGGGAGGGTACTCGCCTGGGAGAGGGACACGCCTGGGAGAGGGGACACGCCTGGGGGAGGGAGACACCTGAGAGCGGGAACCTGGGAGACGGACACGCCTGGGGGAGGGTACTCGCCTGGGAGAGGGACACGCCTGGGAGAGGGGACACGCCTGGGGGAGGGAGACACCTGAGAGCGGGAACCTGGGAGACGGACACGCCTGGGGGAGGGTACTCGCCTGGGAGAGGGACACGCCTGGGAGAGGGGACACGCCTGGGGGAGGGAGACACCTGAGAGCGGGAACCTGGGAGACGGACACGCCTGGGGGAGGGTACTCGCCTGGGAGAGGGACACGCCTGGGAGAGGGGACACGCCTGGGGGAGGGAGACACCTGAGAGCGGGAACCTGGGAGACGGACACGCCTGGGGGAGGGTACTCGCCTGGGAGAGGGACACGCCTGGGAGAGGGGACACGCCTGGGGGAGGGAGACACCTGAGAGCGGGAACCTGGGAGACGGACACGCCTGGGGGAGGGTACTCGCCTGGGAGAGGGACACGCCTGGGAGAGGGGACACGCCTGGGGGAGGGGACACGCCTGGGAGAGGGACACCCCTGGGGGAGGGCACACGCCTGGGAGAGGGACACGCCTGGGGCAGGGCACACGCCTGGGGGAGGGACACGCCTGGGAGAGGGGACACGCCTGGGGGAGGGGACACGCCTGGGAGAGGGACACCCCTGGGGGAGGGCACACGCCTGGGAGAGGGACACGCCTGGGGCAGGGCACACGCCTGGGGGAGGGACACGCCTGGGAGAGGGGACACGCCTGGGGGAGGGGAGACGCCTGGGAGAGGGAGACAGCTGAGAGAGGGAGACAGCTGGGGGAGGGCACACGCCTGGCGGAGGGACACGCCTGGGAGAGGGGACACGCCTGGGGGAGGGGAGACGCCTGGGGGAGAGACACGCCTGGGGGAGGGATGTGTGGTTTAGCTTTGCTAAACTTAATTATTCTAAGCCACATGCCAAAGATAAGGCTTTATGGAATGTTATTAAAAGTATATGTGATAAATAATCCATATGCCTTGTCACATATTTTCTTGGAACATAGTCAGCACTTGATGAACTCTGGTTATTATTACCATGATGATGATGTAACACTGTGCAGCAGAATTGAGAACAGACAGAATGAGAGACTACAGAACACTGAACCATGAAAAATAGGCGGAAGAGTGGCCTGAGAAGCACTCATGGTTCTGGTAGGCTTGTTTTGAGTCTGGGTGTTTTGTTAATTCCTTATTAGTTAAGGTAGTTTTATTATTGTAGTTGCTGTTATTCTTGATTCTCTTGAATTTACTGAGCCTATAATCATATTCATATCTGAAAATAATAGTATAATATTCAGCTTTTAATATGGATACTTGTTATTTCAATTTCAAGCATCATTGCATTGGTTAAAAGAGTGGATTTCAAGGGCGTAATCAACTTTGCTGAGAAAATCTCCTATTTTAAGAAACATTCAGTGATAATGCTACATAAGCTATACCAGAGCACAGAACAAGATGAAAAACTAATTCTTGTTTTGTTTTATGAGTTTTAAATGCTTTTTCACCATTACTTTAAAAATCCTTTTCTTTTTATCTTCTGTTGTTTAGCATGTATATATCTGCAATTATTCTTATCTTTCAGCTTTTTAAAAACTCTTCCTGTAAACAGGCATTTTTTTATGATTAAAAGAATAAACTATTGTATCTTGATTTCACCTATATCATGTGCCCCTCTTCCATGACTTTTGACCTCATATTTCTTTTAATTATATAATCTGTGGTTTGAGACTGAAATGAGTGTTGCTAATTTATAATTCTTAGAAAACATGACCCATGTGGTCTCATCTCACAGAAAACTTGATGTCAAAGGAAGGCATTCCACCAAAGAAATAATTTATTTGAAAATAACCAAAATTCCTACTCAGACTTTTCAAATCCATGTTGAGGCTATGTAGATATCAGCAATTTTTAAAAATTCATGTGTTCATTCCTAACTTTCACATCTTTTTTCCTTCTGTTTCTCCCCTGGACTTGCTTTTATAAATACTACCCACTTACTGAAACCCACGCCAGTCTAACCATGGATGAACGTTCTCGGGAGGGAGAGGGAGAAAGATAAAAATTAATGAGCATAACCAGACTTGTTCCTTGGTTTACTCCTTTGTTTTTCTGGAACATATTCTCAGCTTGTTGGCTTTTTTTTTTTTTTTAAAGAGTAGACATCCAAGGTAAAGTTCTTTATATTTACATTTATATTTCCATGTGATTGTAGCTCAGCTGGATATGCAAGCCTAGCCTGAAAGAAACACGCCATAGTTGACAATTTTGGCTCCGTTGTTCTCTGCTATCTGATGGTTGTAAGACGGAGGGCAGCAGAAAGGAGTGTGGGGAACCCGTGAGGTTTCTTTCCTGGACGTTTTGAGGATCTTTTCTTTATCTTCGACCTTCTGACCGTTCACTCTCATTCCGCTGGCACTTGATGGGCGAAGGCTCTTTCTGAAATGTCCTGAGATGTTTTCTTGTGTTAATATTATTTCTTGGGTGGTTTTCTTTTTTCTTTCTTAAATGCTTATTTATTTGACTGCACTGGGTCATGCGGGATCTCTGATCTTTGTTTCCGCGCATGAGATCTTTAGTTGCAGCATGTGGGATCTAACCAGGGATCAAACCTGGGCCCCCTGCATTGGGAGCGGGGAGTAGTAGCCGCCAGACCCCCAGGGAAGTCCCTGGATGGTTCTCTCTAGCCTTCCTTTCTGGATCTATTTGTCTAATATGGATTACTCCTCAACTTTTCTTTAGCTTTTGAGTTACGATTCTTTTTCTTACTGTTCTGTTTTCTAGAAGAATTCCAAAGCTTTCCCTCCTTCATGTTAAGTTTTTGCTTTTAATTTTTGCTTTTGTTTCCGCCTTTAAAGGCTCTTTCCTCCTGTTCAGTACTCTCCTTATACTATCCACTTCCCTCCCCTCACCCATGGGCTCAGTGTTATACTGAATCTTTTTGAAAATAGGAACTTTTAAAGCCCTAGCATTTTTTTCTGAGTTAGCTGTGTCCGCTAGTCGCTTGTTCTCCCTTGTCCTTGTCTGGCACTTTATCTCCGGTGTGGCTGGGTCTCCTCAAATATCTGGGGATCCACGGGTCTCCCTTTGCTGGGTGTTCCCGGGGGGCCCCAGGCGCATCTCCTGTGAGGCTCTGCTCTCCTCTGGCTCTTAGACAACTAGGTGGGGACCCAGGAGGGACTGCAGGGAGGGGCGGGGACCTGCAGGGGGCGTGGCTCTTCTGTTTCCTCCATCTCGGGGCGCGAGGGGTATTCTTGTCCTCGGCCTGGTTTTCTCTTCCTTGTCTCTTCTCACCCACCACGTGGCAGGTCTAGGACAGTGGTCCACAGTGGGGGCAGCTCTGCCCCAGGGACACAGCAGGATCTGGGGTCACTTGGGGCGGTCACATCAGGGATGGTATTGGCACCCAGCATACAGAGGCCAGGGCCGCTGCTAGGATGCATAGGACGGGCCCAGCCGGGACCACCTGGTCCCGGATGTCAGTAGTGCAGGCACTGGGAAAGCCTGGTCCTGAGGCTGGAGGTCTTGGTTAAACCCTGCAGGGAGCAGGCCCAGAGGCTGCAGCCTGAGTCTGGTCTCCAGGCCAGAGGAGGAAAAGGGGGTCTGTGCCTCTGTGTGCCTATCCAGTGGGTGTACAGACACACACACACACACACACACACACACACACACACTCTCACACGTGCCAATACAGACTCCACACACAGAAACTTTCAGACACAAACACATACACACAAACACACAGATGCATATGTACACATATACAAATACACACTCAGGCACACACAAAATACATACATACATAGAAGCTTTCAGACACAAACACGCACAAACATACAGGTGCACACATACACACAAATACATGCAAACACCCCCAGCACCCACACACACCACGTCCAGCGTCAGACAGGAAGTCTCCCGGAATGGCCCATTGTCAGTCCTGCTGGAGCAGACCCTGGGAAAGCTGGGAGTGGCGCGCAGGGCGGGTGGGCAGCCGGGCCTGCAGGGTGGCCGCCTGGCAGCAGGTCAGGGGTCTGACTGGCCTGGCGGTGGTGGCCGTTCCTCGGGGGGTCCCTGCTGGCGCGAGTGGGTCTGCTCCACTCGCCTCCTTCTGGGCTAATCTGGGAACTGGATCTGAGAGAGGGGCTGGCTCTCCAGGGCCCAGAAGAACTAATTAGGTTTCTCTCTGCATCTCATCATATCTGAGTCATTTGTCTCGAAATGACAGAGGACTTCTTTTGTGCCTTCTGCTTCCATCCCAGACGCTAACTAACCCGTGTGCAAACAGAGAGGACGCTTACCATTGTTGTATCGGAAACAACAAAGGTTCTGCCAGCAGACACCCAGCAACGCATCCAGAGGCCACTTGGATCCCGTATTTTCTGGCATGAAAACCCACATCCCACACTCAGGCTTTGTTCTTTCTGGGCGTCGGTTCCAGAATGTTTTCTGTCTGCATTCAACAGCCCAGGAGCCGCTTGCCAATCTGTTCGTCCCTGTTTGATCTTGAAAATGTGCAGTGGTTTCTCCAAAGGCCAATACCTGACATCCCAAAGCCGAGAACGGCAGGTTCTGACCCTGAAGACCATGGGACTGGATTCCCAGGGAATGTTCTAGAATAGAGTCTGCAAGAAGCAGTGTCTCTTCTCCTGCTATGTGTTGGAACTCAGTTGTGCCAACTCTTTGCGACCTCGTGGACTTTGTGGCCACCAGGCTCCTCTGTCCATGGGATTCTCCAGACAAGAATACTGGAGAGGGCAGCCATTCCCTTTTCTAGGGCAGCTTCCCGACCCAGGGATTGAACCTGGGTCTCCTGCATTGCAGGCAGGTTCTTTACCATCTGAGCCACCAGGGAACTGGACAAGCTGCTGGGGTGTCACCGAGCACATCTTTCTTGAGATGCCGTGAGTCAGGGAGGAGCCTGGATAGGGAGGTGGGAGCCTGCCGGAAGTGGCGAGGCCCGTGGTTTGAAGCGCACGTTGGCGCCTGTGTCCGCAGACCTGGCTTCGGCCGAGGTGGGGGGTCCTTCGAGAACTCCGTATCCCTCTGGTGGAGCGTGTTTGCAGTCGTGGAAGGCTGATGGTGGGCAGGAGCTGTCTGTGAACAGAGGCTGCGGGGGTAGTGTCGAGATGGGCCCTGAGACTGAGGCCTGAGTGAGCATCCCTTGAAAGCATCGCATGGTCCTTCCCTCTGAGCTCTGTACATCCTGTGCTCTCAGCGGAAACACTCTCCGCCAGGGCGGTCCTCCTCCAGCAAGGAGGGGTCTGGAGGCTCTGATGGCAAGGCGCGTCCCTGTGGTCTCCAGAGCGCTTGCCTTCTCCGCCTCCACCTGCTGGCTGTTCTGTTGGTCTGATTCCTCAGGTCCAGTCTGGTCTCATATGCAGGAGCACACAGGTGCGAAGAAGCCCCTCTTTCCAGGTGAAACATGTTTCCTTTAACTGTTGTTCATACAACACACTGGGATGGTTTCCACGGTGACCCACCTTCAGACATCTCCCTCTTGTCCATGTTTCTCCTGAAATCTGGGCCTGGCTGGGCGTCCGGCTCCGGATGTGGGAGAGCAGAGAGGGCTGCGTGAGCCGAGGTTCAGAGCCTGTGCTGCTCTCGGCTTAGCCCGTGGCTTCCTGTAGCTTCCCTGGTCTCTACTGAGTTCGGCAAGCCCGACGAGGCCTATTTGATGAGAACTACCGCTGTCAGCTACATTGACACCCAGGCTGAACTTACGGAGTGGATTTCTAAACCCAACATCTGTGTTTTATGTTTATTCCTAATGACTGTGCGCTCCTTAATTTTGGGCTAGCATCCTTGTGTAGTGAGAAGATTCTGAGTCATGGTCTTGAGCTGCGAGCTGTCGTTGTGTGAATTTCTCAGACCTGTCTGCTGTCATGACCTGAGTCACTTCAAGGCAGGAGAGGCTGGTCCAGAAGACAGACTCTGCCTGTCACTGACCCCTGTCTCCTGTGATACCGCCTCACCCCACCCCTGGTCCATCGTTGACCCCATCTCCTGTGATCACCTCCTCACCCCACCCCTGGTCCATCGTTGACCCCATCTCCTGTGATCACCTCCTCACCCCCACCCCCTGGTCCATCATTGACCCCATCTCCTGTGATCACCTCCTCACCCCCATCCCTGGGGTTCACCATTGACTCCATCTCCTGTGATCAGCTCCTCACCGCACCCCCAGGGTCTGTCGTTGACCCCATCTCCTGTGATCACCTCCTCACCCCACCCTCGCCCGTTGTTGACCACATCACCTGTGATCACTCCTCACCCCCACCCCCGGGGTCCATCGCTGACCCCATCTCCTGTGATCACTCCTCACCCCCACCCCCAACCCAGGTTTCCCACCAGCGCCTGCTCAGGGTTGAGCAGGACTCACGGCCCCTCCTCTCTGACCCCGTGAGAAGGCAACGCTCTGGGGGTCTCACTTCCCTCCCAACCCCTCTGTCCTCTCCCTGTAACTCCACGTGTTTGGATCAGTGGAAAATTTAGTTCCAACTTATCAAAGGATTTTTTAAAAGCAACTTCTTTTGAGGCTTGATTCATACAAAATAAAGCATACATGTCTAAACTGTAGTCTTTGATACGGCTTGTCAGATGCATAAACGGGAAACCGTCACCACGAAGAATAGCACGGACACATTCACGGCTCCCCAAAGGTTCCTGGCTCCCCTTCGTCACACTCCCCCCACCCCTGCCCCAACCAGGGCTCTGTGGCTGTAGATTAGTTTCTATTTTCTAGCGTTTTGTGTAAGTGGAATAATACAGTCAGTATATGCTCCTTTCAGTCTGACTTCTCTCACTGAGATTCCAATGGGATCTATAAAAACAGCTATTAGAACCAGTCAGTGAGGGTAGCAAGGCTGATAGGATACCACATCAATATGCAAAGATATATTGAATTTCTTTGAGCTTGAAAGTAATAACATACAGAAATTGAAACAAAAAATACTATTTACAATAGCATAAAATAGTATGAAATACTTAGGGATAAATCTGACAACTGAAAATTATAAAATATAGATAAGAGGAATTAAAGAAGGCCTAAATAATATGAAAGATGTGCCATGTTTGTGAGTCAGAAGATTCAATATTCCTAAAATGTCAGTTTCCCCCAAATTGATCTGAGGATTCAATATGATATCAATCAAAATTTGAACAGGCTTTTTTTTTTTTTTGTAATAACTGACAAGATGATTTCCATGAATCTGCATTTATGGGAGTGTGAGGATCCTAGAAGATACCAAAAAACTGAGAAAGAGAAACAAATTGCAGGCCTAACACTCCTTGGTTTCAAGACTAATTATAAAGTTACACTATCAAAGCTGTGTGGTTTTGGTGTCCAGGTAGACAGATAAATCAATTGAACAGAACAGAGAGTGCAGAAATAGACACACACATATACAGATAATTGATTTTCAACTAAGGTACAAAAGCAATTCAGTACAGAAAGGATAGTTATTTTAAAATGGCACCAGAAAAAATCTGGGTATACATATGCCAGAAGGGAACTCAATCCATACCTCACATCACAAAGATGAACTCAAAATAGGTACACACCTAAGTGTAAAATATAAAATGATAAAACTTCAAGAAGAAGACATAAGACAAAACATTCATGACCCTGGATTAAGTGAAGATTTCTTTATATACATCATAAAAACACAAATGTAAATGAAAGAACTGATAATTTGGCTTCATCTTTAGAGGTTCTGTTTTTCAAAAATTTCTTTCAGGCAATGAAAGGTCAAGCCACAACCTGGTAGAAAAACACACATCTGATAAAGAACTTGACTCCAGGACACAAAAAGAATCCTTGAAGATGCACAAATGGAAAATGGGTAGTTTCTCAAAAGGTTGTACGTGTTCCCACCATGTGGTTGGGTCAGTTCCGCGTCTCGGTATCTACCCCAAATTAAAAAATCATATGACCAGACTTGGATATGAATGTTTGCCGCATTTGTAATAATCCCCAAAGTGGAAGTCACACAAATGTCCCTCAGAGGGTGGCTGGCTAAGCCTGCCCACCATGTCATGTGCCCATGACACCGCTCAGCAAAGGACAGGGACGAGCTCCTGACGCACACAACACCTGGAGGGATCGCTAAATCGTCATGCGTGAAAAATCATCATGATGCGTCATGCTTCCATGCTGGATAGAAGGTAAGTCCTTTATGATTTCATTCAGATAAAATGCTGAAAAGTGTGAGCTAGTCTACAGTGACGCAGACACAGAAAGTAGACGTCGACACTGCGGGGAGGCGGGGGAAGGCTTACAAAGGAGCATGAGGACGCTCTGGGCGATGATGCGTGCGCTGTGTTCATGGCAGTGATGGCTTCACGGTGCGTGTTTATGTGAAAGCTTGTCACATTGTCACTTTAAATATGTACATGCGGATCCATGTACGTCAGTGATAAACTTCAATAAAAAACAAACTATGTCCAAAAAACACCCCAATGTAGAGAAATGCCTGTAGACAACCTCAGCGAAGCTGTGTGTGCCTCTCATCCAGCCCAGCGTCCAAGGGGCGTGCGCTTAGCAAATGTTACTTTGCCTTCCGTCTTCTTCTCCACCCGTGATAAAAACTCAGAGTGTGTAGAACTAGCTACATCATCAGCTGACATGTCTCCTGTGTGGCTGATGGCGGGGCAGGGTTTTGTACAAAGACACTTGGGTCTGGGAAGAGCCCACGATGCTGAAACATTCAAGCGCTTCCATGTTATTTGGAACAAGGTGTGCTTGTCACAGACTGGTAGTTAAATACTGAAATTCCTGTCCGAGTGAAATGTACCCACATGAGGTTTTAACGGCGTGAGCACATTTGTGGGAGTCCACGGGGAGGCAATCTCAGCCCATGAAGTATTTATGGAGACTCACCCAAGGTCCCCGTGAGGGCTGCTGATGCGAGGATGACGGCCAGCACCCCCTGCGTGGACCGGTCTCTCTGCTCTGTTGTCCGTGGCGACTCTGCTCTGTCTGCCTGCCTGCCGCCCCCCTGCTCCCCAAGGCAGCCCTGGACTTGCCTCCATGTAGCCCCTACTCTTTTCTGTCCCCTTCTTTCTCTCCATCCCTGTCACCGTGTCTGTGATCTCCAGGCCGGGTCGCCTTTGAAGGATATATTCATCATTTCCAGAGTCCCCTCCTCCACTGGTGACACTGGAGGTGCTGAGAGCCTGCCCAGTGAGCCGCATCCTGGAGGGGGCTCTGGAGGAAAAGGATCGTCCTTGGACCCACTTGCAGGAAACAGTGTCACATTTGACTCCTCTGAACAGGGTGAGACAGGACGCAAAATGTACAGGCACATGTGGGTCTGTTTGTGAGACTTGTGCTGGGAGGTCGTCCAGTCGTGACCAGACCACAATCTGGATGAGGTCACCTGCACGAATCTCCAGTGTTTGCATATGGAGCTCCAGCAGGGTGGGGGGGTGGGTTTCCTGGAGCGGGGAGCCATCCTCTCCTGGAAACTGGCTGTGCTGTGGACAAAACCACAGGAGGGGGACCTTCAGGTGGGCCCCCACATCAGCTCCCAGGTACTTTCATCTTCTCTCACCCCATTAGGTCAGGCGGAGGGGCGGCGGTCTGACTGTGGGTGACTTAAACCTTTGAGATGGCTTTTATAAGCTAAAGAACCAAGTGGAATGGCCCGCGAGCCCCCAAAAGAACCATCAGCAGATTGAATCTTAGTTGGTGTCTGGCTCACTTGCTGTCACCCTGCAGTGAGCCTGGTTTCAGGGGGCAGAAAGAGTTCTTTCCTTTCTCCTCCCAGAAAACACAGCTGAGAACTTCCCGGGAAACTGGGCACTGCTCCCATCTGCCAGGAAGCACACCTCTGAGCAGGAGGGACCAGAAATCAGAGTCAGAACCAGAAATAATCTCTGCTGACGTGTGGCGCTAACCCCGTGCTCACATGTGCTCCCAGGGAACTTGAAACTCTTCTGTGAAAGATGACAAGATGAGGTAATAATGCCACAAAAATATGTGGTAGACTTCCCCCAATGATTTTCTTTGAAGTGACGTTTACACAACCTGGATGAGCATCTTTGGGGTCATTTACACGCAGTGAAGACGGCAGCTTACCTGAGTGCCCCAGTGTTAATGGACTCTGATGTTAATTACACGGTTATCTCTTGGATTAATGGTTCCTAAATACTGCCTTAAATCACCACTCCTCCTTGACCACATAAAATTCCCCTGCAGTAAGTACTGCTCAGGTAGAAGGCTGTTCTATTATTTTTTTTAAGTTGAAATACATTAAGTTAATTTACAATGTTGTTTAGTTTCAAGTGAATAGCAAGATGACTCAGTTATACATACACATATATGCTTTCTTTTCAGATTACTTTCCCTTATAGTTTATTACGTGATAGTGAGTATAGTTCCCTGTGCTATACAGTAGGTCCTTGTTATTTACCTACTTTATAGAATGCTGTTCTTTATAGGGAATTTCCTGAATTCTGTAGTGACTTACCATTCTTGTGTTTAATTTTTAATTTATATTGGAGTAGAGTTGATTAACTGGAGAAGGCAATGGCATCCCACTCCAGTACTCTTGCCTGGAAAATCCCATGGACGGAGGAGCCTGGTAGGCTGCAGTCCATGGGGTCGCGAAGAGTTGGACATGACTGAGCGACTTCACTTTCACTTTTCACTTTCATGCATTGGAGAAGGAAATGGCAGCCCACTCCAGTGTCCTTGTCTTGAGAATCCCAGGGACGGGGGAGCCTGGTGGGCTGCCGTCTATGGGGTCGCACAGGGTCGGACACGACCAAAGCGACTCAGCAGCAGCAGCAGAGTTGATTAACAATGTGAAGTTAGTTTCAGGTGTACAACAAAGTGATTCAATTATATGTAATACATGTATCTATTCTTTTTCAAATTCTTTTCCCCTTTAGGTTACTACAGAGTATTGAGGAGAGTTCCCTGTGCGGTACAGTAGGTCCTTGATGGTTACCTGTTTAAAATACAGCAGTGTGTATTCACCAGCCCCAAATCTGCCATTCTTAATCTAATATTCACAGCCGTGTATTCTTGGGTTTCCCCGCACGTCACATCGTTAGCAGTTCTCAGTAAAAGGCCTGCTGTTTCCAGGTTCCTGGACCACAACCTCCAGGAGGGCAGAAATGGGGCCTTCCCCATCAGAGCACCACAGCGGGTGCTTGGCACACACATGTTGAATCAATGATGAGACATCTCATCAGTAGGGGTCCCAGAGGATCCCCTGAGGACGGACCCTGACCGGCGGGGTGGGCAGCTGAGTCCTCTTGGGCCCGTCTCAGCTGGCTGGCTCCTCCCTGGATGGCGGGTTTCCCTGGGGTCTGGCCTCATCCTCCTGGGGAAGCTGGCCAGGAGCACGTGGTCTGGCCCAGAGTCGCGTGGGAGCTGCTGGCAGAGGACCAGCACGACCCCCCCTCTCCCCGCTCAGGTCAGCAGCTGGCACCTCCTTGGTGACTTGGAAGCAGATGAGGGCGACCTTGCTGAGCGAGCTGGGATCAGGCTTTGCACGTGTAAGTGTTCAGACTTAGTGCAGAGCAGGGTGTTTGTAGTCTGGTCTGGGCCTGGCTTTGCACATGTAAGTGTTCAGACTTAGTGCAGGGCAGGGTGTTTGCTGAACCACAGCTACTGGGAATACTGTGGTTCCTGCATTTGACTCCTGAGCTCGCGTATCTGTGGAATCACACTCTCAGGGCTTGGAGTTAGGAAAGAAGCATCCTGAGACCTCCCTCCTCCTGGTTCTGACTCGCTGTTGNCCCGACTGGGCTCGGGTGGAGACGGCCCCAGCCGTCAGACAGAAGGCCCCGCGCGCTCAGATTTCCTGGGGAGCCGCGGGAAAGCAGCAGGCGGAGGCGGGCCCGGCGCGCGGCGGAACCGTGCGGGCGCGCCCTCTAGCGACGGGACGCGGGACAGTCCGCCGCGTCAGGCGCTCCGGCCGCCGCCCCGGCGACGAGGCCCAGGGCTTGAGGAGACTGGGACGCGGTCGCCGCCCCGCTCAGCACGCGCGCCTGAGGGCACACGGGGAGCGCGCGCGTGAGGGGCACACCGGAAGTCTAGAGAGGCCCTCTTGCTTTTTGAGACGCGGGCGTGCGGCCCTTTGACCGCGGGCGAGCTGAGGGTGGGCGCCTCTGAAGACGGCAAGCCTCCCTGTGAGAGGCTGGGCCGCCCTCTGCGCCGGGCCCCGCGCCGGCCTTGATGGCGGACGGGTCACGTCGTCGTCACCGGAACAGGCGTCGGGAGGTGGAAGGCGCTTCTGGAACCGAGGCTGAGGTGCCCCCTCCAGGGGGACCGCGTCCCCGAGAGCCCGGGGGTCAGGTCTCGAGGTCGGGGGCGGCGGCTGTGCCCCTGGGCCCGCCACCTCTCAGAGGGCAGGGCGGGACAGCCACAGGCGGGCGGGCACAGGGCGGCAGGCGGACAGGGCCGTGTGCGCTGCCGCCCTCAGCTTTCTCTCTCCTGGGCCGTTTGGAACTTCCAACAGTGGACAGCCAGCACCTAGATATGCTTCTCCTAGACTCAGCTGCGGCCTTGGGCACAGCCGTTTTCTCTCTGTCCGTTTCTCTCTCCCTGTCATGTGTGTGTGTACGTGTCTTCCTGAGCATCTCTGTCATCTGTCTGTCTGTATCTGTCCATATCTGTCATCTGTCTTTATCAATCGCCTATCATTTGTCTGTCTTTCATCTATCATCTATCCCCATCTGTATCTATCACCTGCCTATCCTTATCAGCTATCTGTATCTACTGTCTCTCATCTATCTTTACCGATCATCTGTCCTCTTTATCATCTCTCTGTCTGTCCATACCTGACTTTCTGAACAGTAGTAACTTGTGGATGTTCTGACACCTCACCTCTGAGAGCAACAGGCTGTATCACCTAATAAGGCTGGGATTCCCCGTGACCACAGGAACGTGATTGCACTCGAGAAAGTTACTGACAACTTCCTGGT